AAAAAAAAAATAATTTTGCTTAGCACATTTAAACAAGCAGAAAACATGCGTATTTTTCATCACCAAAAAAAAAAAAAAATCCATAAAGTGGGTTTGCCTTAGGGATCTGGATTTCTGTACTACTACATGTCTATTTGATTTGAGTCAACAGTCCCAATGTGTCAATGTTATGTCAATTCAAAATCATGTCTTATTATTATTTTATAGGCAAACATAGGACTAAAAGACATAGCAGATAAAGCATGCAAAGAATTGACATCTGTACACTCGGTCAGTGTGAAAAATTTATAGTAGGGGAAGTGGGAAATCAGAGTTTCCTAGCAATTTGTGCATGCTGTTGGGAACTTGGAAATTTGGTTTTAGTCTTAGCACTGACACAACTCGGCCCCATTGAGTCATAAACAAAATTCCCACTGACATACAGGGTCGGAGAATTGGACAGTAACTTCATGTTGTGTGGAAATAACACACAGGCACATTCTGACACTCCAAAACACATTCAATGTGCCCTTTAAAACTTTTTCTGAAGTCAGATACAGTTTAAATTTTAAGCAGCTCTGGCTACATAAAAGTTTGTATACCACCATAAAGCTCATGTCAGATTATGATCCGGGAGTTGTTGCTACATTACAAAAACAAAAGTAATCATACTCGGTTGACAATGGGTGATGGAACCTGGTCCTTCATTTATATGCCTTAATTTCTACAAAAAGAGGGACAATAATTCTTACCTAGTTCATAACTGGTGAGGATTAAATAACAGACATTTATACAGTGCTTTGCAAATGAACATTATATAAGTGCTAAGTATTATGATATTAACCAAAATGTCACTACATCTATATGACCCTAACAAAGCAAAAAAAACTTTCAGTATAATTTTTTCACATATTTCCAAGTCAATAAAAATGAGCCATGGAGTTAACTGGCTATTTTGGTACAAATGAATGAATTACTTTAACTTGTTTGACAGCTTGAAAAAAAAAAAAACCCACAGAATCTAATCTTTCCATTATAAAGGGGCCCATTTAAGGCATGAAGCCATTTTATAGTCTTGCTTATAAACGTCAGTATTCATTTGGCATTCATTCAAGTTATTTTTCAAATAGCAGACCAATCTTCTGAGAAAGATACTTTAGCAATCCACATATGCTAAATGAAGGCCTCCTCCAATTTCCTTCTCCAAGGAAATTCTGCTCAGTGGCTGCTGTTTTGATGATCTTGGAAATCTCACACTTCTCAAATCAAAGATTACACAAAGATCAGGCTGATGATGGTGGACAGTTAATGAGGCTTGGCACGCCTGAGCATGTCAAAGAATTACAAAACTTTTAAACTTTAATAAAGCATCTCAGGACCATGACTATGTTATCTTCAACCTCCAACCTACTTAAGGAAACAATTAAAGAACAAAAATAAAACAAAGAAACAAACATAAAGAGACCACACATTAACAGAGATGGAGTAGATGCTTTGGTCCAAAACTCAACTTGTATGGATCACTGGAGCACCACATGGTGAATGGAGCCACAGTGACTTACACTTAGAGAAAAGTACAGTCCAACACATGGTAGGCCAGGTAGGATGCCTCGTTTCTTTCCAATGATGTAAAGACGACAAGAAGAGGAGGTCACCTGCGTGCATCATCCAAAACAAGGCAAAGCTTTTACACCTGCACTAATGCAATTGGCCTACTCAAAACAGCAAAGCAAAACCAGTTTTGACAACAGCTCCTACACAGTGCACCTTTTCATTTCCTTTCATACTGAATTAAAAGCAAGAACAGCATTAAGCACCTTGGTAGATGCCCAGCAACACCCTGCCCCTCTCCCCAGGCTGAGCTGTGGTACCTCCTTCTAAGCATGCTAAGTTGATAAATCTTGCCACCTCCTTCCCTTCTGTGGCAGAGAGCAAGACTGTCCTTGACACATCCATTGAAAGAACTCAGAAAAAAAGTAAAAATATTTCATTCTAGAAAGATGTATGCTACACTACCAGCCTTGTTTCATCTTAGCAGGGAATTGCATTCATGTTGCCACTGCGTTTTGAATACCATAAAGAAGTAAAATTTCTGAGAGAAGTCTACAGGCATTTTTTGCTGTGTTTGTATCTAGTAGAACAAAAAAGGCAGAAAGTTATTCCTTCCCATACAAAGTGGATGCATACTGTAGGTGTATCCTGTAACACTTTGAGGTCAGTACCACTTCTCAGCATCTCACTTGGATGTCTGAGAAAATTCATATCCCAATGCTACAGGTTTAACAAGTTCACTCTATGGAATTATCTGAGGGTAAAAAAATCACTCCTTTCTGAAAGTCCAGCGCAGGACTGCAAAATAACCATGTAATCTCTCAGATTCTCAAAAGAGAATTTGAAAGGCTAACAATTACATTAGAGGTACAGATAACAAGCAGTCCCCATTCAATCTATAGCTCTATGCCTTTGGTCTTCAACACTGTGTATCTAATTCTCCTTCAATGGCTGTGGGTGTCCAGTACAGCAGGTTACTTACTTTAGCCTAAACCATCTTTGTACTAATGTTTATTATTTTTCAGATCTGCATTTTAGAAGTGCTAGCACCACTCCAAATATTTCTCATTCTAGCCAGAATTTCATACATCATCGCGAATAACATTTTACTTTCCAGACAACGTTTTGCTTCAATAAGAAATTGTTAACCGCCTGAGATTTGGTCTGTACTTCTCAGCAGCTAGTAATGTTACCTAAATATTTTGGCCTTGCTTTATAAATGTACTAGACATTCATAGAGAGGTAAAAAGGCAGGCAACTTTTATCAGTCCCAGCAAATCCTTGATATTAACTACTTCTCACATAATAAATAGAAGGGAAACTGCACATATTTGACATTCCAGAAATTTTGCTTGCTAGAAAATATCAAAATTTGAAAGAGAAAAGAAAAAAAAAATTTAAAAAAAAAAAAGAGGAAAAGTCTCTAAAAATTATCCTAAGCATGAGTTTTTGTCCTACAGTAATATTAGGATTTTATAAATATCAGCAAAAGCCAAAACTAGTAATGGATTGCTAAACGAGACATAAAAAGCAGGCCTAATAATGGTGCTATTCAGAGGATAACCTTCCATCAACACAGGCCTTGGTAGCAAAGGCAACAAATAACTATCTTGTTAGATGAAGACAAGACCACTATTTGTACCTTCCTCTCTCATCCCCAGCAAAACTTTTAAAAAAACCCCAAACCTAATTTGAACTGAATAACAGGAAAAAGGAAAACTGGGGAGGAGGGTCAGTAAACCCAGACACTTTGGTAATATAATTTAAAGGACTTCCCTGCTCTCCATCCTTCGCTGGATTCATAGTAGTTACTTTGCTTAAGCATTAGCTTAATACTTGGTGTCCAAATCACTGGCAAAAATTTAAATGGCCAAATATTGAACTTGTCATTTTCTACAGAACTCTTCTATGGGTTGTTTTAATTTGTTTGGGTTTATTGTTTTGTTTTTTACTTAAAACCATGTGAAAGTGCCTTACAGACTTTTCAGCTTGCTTCCCAGAAATACGGCACATTAAGTTGACTAGAAATCATAGTATCTACCTTTTCCCATACGTGATACATATAACTTTATCCGTTCCTAGAAGACTCAGACTGTCATTTTGGCAAGGAGCTGCAATGCACCAGTCTGAGCATAAAGAATTTAAGTTACGGATTTTGCAGAATTGGTTAATAACTGAATAAGTACTGCTATTTTTTTTAATCTATAATATTTACAGTATTGCACTTTACTGCACTTAATTGCATTTCACTAAAATTAATGCTGCATCAGTATTATGCCTTAAAACCATATGTCCATCTTTGTTGTATAATTCATCCTTTCTACATCCTGTAAAGCAGTGAGATTCTGATTCAAAGATCTAGGCATTTGGGGGGAAAAAATGAAAAACTGACCTGTTTCTATGGCACAATACAGCTCTTTGAGTTCACGTAATTCTGGCAAAACAGGTGCATTTCTTATTGTTCCCATCTTTCAAGTTATCACTAACAATTAGTAAATTCTAGTCTCTCTTTTTTTTCTCCTTTCAAAGGACATAGCCATTTGAGACACACACTTTTTTGTTATTGCTGCTAATTTTTTTTTTTCCTTAGGAAAGAAAAGAAGGAAAATAAAAACCTGCCTTGCCTCAGATCTGAAATTCCATATTTAAATTCAAACCAGTTCTGCAGCAGCAGCAGCTCCTCAGTGATGGAAGAGATTCATGGCAGTGAAATAATACTGTTGGCAACAAAGAAATGTCATCTTTAATGGAGACCAGCCCCAAGGATTTATTATTTATTATTATTACTATTTGTTTTGTTTAGTTTTGTTCTAATATATTTCTGATCTTCAAAACGTGTTTAGTTTGACACATGCACAAGGTAGCAAAACTGACAGCAGCAGATGACGTTATGCCGGAGCGATCACTTTTGCCAGGGTCAAAAATCCAAAGTGTCCCCAATGTTCACAGATTAACATAATTTAGAGATCGTTTCATTTCATTTCTCTTTTTTTTTTTTTTCCTCTTTTTGTGATTTTTTTTTTTTTTAGCTCTCTTTTCTCTCTCCTCCCACCTACTTTGTCCTCCGAGGAGTCTCTGGCTGGCGGGTGCGTGTTTGCCGCTCGCGTGTGTCGTGTCCGCGGTTCGGCGGCGGGCGGAGCGTCCCCGCCGCGCCACGCGGCACCTCCCGGCCGCCGAGTCCCTGGGGCCGAGCGGGCGAGCAAAGCGGCGCTCGCAGACCTCGGGGAAGGGCAGAAAAATAAAAACAAAACCCCCGAAAAAATTATATATAATAAAATAAAAAAAAAAAAAAAAAAAAAAAAAAAAAAAGAGATAAGGCGGCAGGGCGGCCGGAGCGCTCGCTGCTCGCCCTGCAGCCAGGGAGGAGGAGGATGAGGAGGAGCGGGGGGGACAGAGCGGCGGTCCGTGCGGGTCACACGTCCGCCCGCCGCGGGCACCCGGGGCGGGGTGTGATGGGGGGCTCGGGGGAAGCGTGTCAGAGCCCCAGGGCCTCGGCGTGCTTCCGGGCCTTCAGCCGCAGGTCGGCGATGCTGGAGTTCTTGCTGTTGCTCTTGGCGGCCGCGGCCACGACGGCGGCGGCGGAGGCGGACTCGGCCAGGGAGGCGATGGGCAGCCCGAAGGGCGGCGGCGGGAACATCAGGTAGGGCGCGTGGGCCGCCAGGTGCGGGTGCAGGTGCGGGTGCGCGTGGGCCACGCCCTCCAGCTGCAGCTGCGCCTGGACCTGGGCGCGGGGGCAGAGACACGGCGTCAGCCCCGAGCCCGCAGCCCGGGCACACAGCCCCACAGCCCGCCACAGGCCACGCGTCCCCAAGCCCGACCCTGCCCGGGAGCACGGCGGATAGAAAGAACAACTTGTGGAGCGGAGTTCCCGCCCGCAGTCAGGGAGGCAAAGCTCCGCTCCTTGCTCAAGCAAGGGCACAGAGACACGCTTAACCCTCCTCCTGGTGGTTTTAAATAAATAAATAAATAAAAGAAAAGAAAAGAAAATAAATACGGCCCAAAGCACGGGCGCCAACAAGTGCTAAATAGCTAATATTTTTCCCTCTTTTTTTTTTTTCTTTTTTTTTTTTTTCAGGGATGTTTATTTATACCTTGCTAAAAACTCTTTGGCCATGGGTCCCTTTTATACCCAGCGAGTGTTTGCTTTGGAGCTTTCTAGATCTACACAAACACATTGGGTTGACTGAGAGATTTCAGCTTCGGGTAGGTTCGGGGAGGAGTGGGGGAGAGTTTATTTATGTATTTAATTATTTTGGTCCAAATATGTCTTTTAAAAATCAATACAATTAATCTGTCAGCTCCACGTGTCTCCGAGACGGAGAAGGTGGTGGAGGGTCCCTTTGGGCTGGAAAAAATCAATTCCCCGATTAATTGACCAAAAAAAAAAAAAAAAAAAAACAGAGGGAGGGAGAGTTACAACCGGCTAGAAGCGGGAACGGAATTTCATCACCCTCCTCCCGGTTTTCCCCAGCGGCCTTTCCCGGATGGCTGCGCCTCGCTGGGGCATGGACCCGGGTCCCGCAGTGGCGTCGGTGCCTGCGCTCCGCCACTGCCCCTGTCCTGGCTGACCAAAAGGGCGGCAGAGCATTTGGGAGCAGGTTCCCCACCTCCTCAGCGGTCGCATCCATCGGAAAAGGACAGGTCCCAGCAGCCCGCCCGGGAATGAGGAGGGGAACTACAGCGCAAGGGTCCGCATAGTTTTTCCCCCTCACGGTTTCGCCCGTCGGGTACAAGAGCCTCCTCCCGCAGCGCTCTCCGGCGCCAGGAGGGGACCAAAGCCCCCTGGGCTGCTCGGGACCGAGCCGGTCCGTCCCCGCAGAGGGCGGGCGGGCCCGCCCGGGCACTGCCAGGCCCAGCCCGCCCGGGGCAGGCGATGCGCCCCCGGGAGGCCAGTCCAGGCTGCGGGACCCCTGTGTGCCATCCCCCCTGTGTGCCATCCCCCCTGTGTGCCATCCCCCCTGTGTGCCAGTCCATCGCACGGCGGCCGAGGGGCCCTTAGCCCCGTCGGAGCCTCCCGGGGCCGTGGGACCCCCCGCTCGGTCCCGAACAGCGCTGAGCTCCCGAAAGCCGGGTGGGGGCTCCTTCACGAAGTTTTACAGCCTGTTTTTAATACGTGCCAACTTCTATATAAATGGCACTTGTAAACGTGTCCGGCTTCCTCCAGTGCAAATGAATGGGGGTCGGAGCTTACTGAGGGAAAGTAAAATAAAACCGGAGCTAACTACCTGTTGGAAAGGCATCCTCAGGGCTCCCATATTCACATAGGGGGCTACTCTGCAGGCGTCTAAATGGCTGGCGGTTCCCAGGATCACACCTGCGGAGAGAGACGGGGCCGGGTGAGTGGCGAAGGCGCCCCGGGGCTCCGAGGCCTCCACCCCCCGGCCGGTCCGCACCCCTAACCCACCTTTGTGCATCTGGTTTTCCTGCTTTCGGCACTTCGCTCTCCTGTTCTGGAACCAGACCTGTGAAAAGAAAAATCAAACAAAACCAAAACAACAACCAAAAAATGGAGGTGGCCTAGGCAGCCGCTAAGAAAACATTCTATCAGGAGCTAGGGATGGAGGGGTGAGGCGAGTGACTGCCCAGCTTTGCTGGGGTCTCCCCTCGGGAGCAGCCGAGGGGACGAGCTGGAGCCCAGGGGGAGCGAGCCCCTCTCTGTGCTGCTGTGGGGTATTCGTGGGGGAGGTCCTGCTCCTTGTCGTGGTCCCTCAGTTGAACCTAGGAGATGGGAAGCGCCCTCGCAGCTGGAGAGACCGGGAGCCTGCCGCCTAGCACTGAGTCTCGGAGGGCCCCGTGTCCCCTGGGCAGGCAGTGGCGGTCTTTCTGCCACCCGTCTGGAGCGACACTTTCAGTAAGACCACCCGCAGGACGGATGGGACCCTCGAACCCTTCCTAGTTCTTAAGCAGCCCGGGAAGAGCCAGCGTGGGCCAGGTCGGACTCCGGGGTCTGGCCCCCAAGAGACTGGACCTCCTGCCCTCTCCCGAGCGGAGCTTGAAATTGATCATCTCCGACAAGATGCGAGACACTGAAGTTTCCCGAAAGGGTCTGAAACATTCCCCGTTCCCTAAATGTTTAAAAAAAAAAAAAATCCATTTCTGCAGACTTCTGACCAGATAAGAGCAACATCTTTTGCAGGCTGGGATGTAAAGAAGTGCTAATGCCCCTACCCGAGGAACGCCTGTAATTCGATAATGCTATCCCAACTCCAGCCGTTCTCACTCAAACAATCTCAGAACTTTGCAGTTGCCACTGCGCTGCCCGTGCCTCTTTTTCCAGGGACATTTCAGACCTTCATTACTTTCCCCCTTCCACCGTGCTCGATTAACAGCTCTCCCCAAAACATCATCAGAAACGCGGGCCAAAATATTTTGGGGATCCTTATCTTTATACCAAAACCTACCGAATATGGACAAACATTGACTTTCAGCGCTGATAAAATCTTGTGGCTAAGTAAACACCTACAACCTTTGATGTTCTTGCACTTGCCAAGAGATCATACGGTTAATTAATACTAACTGCACTTCCTACATCAAATTTTCCCTTCAAGCTTTCTTCAATTGCCTTAATGATGGTCATTTACAACGGAGTAATTAGTGCAAAGAAAGGCTTCCGAAGGCATTAATTACCTCGGGTACCTCAGTGATTTTCTTAAGTAGGAATTGGCCTTCTCTGATTTAGCGCACCATTTTTCCTGCCTAGGATGTCTGTGGGGGAAGCACGCAGCGGGCGACTGCGGAGCGCCGCGGGTGCGGACAGATAGACCAGCCGACGGACGGACAGACAGACAGACAGACAGACAGACCCATCCATCCATCCATCCATCCATCCATCCATCCATCCATCCATCCGCCCACCCACCCACTAGTCCTGGTTTCCTATCTCTGACGGCTGTCGCCAGCGCAACCCTCCCAGTTCTAAGCGGGCATCGCTGCCGCTCCGCTGCCCTGCACAGCACAGCCCGGCACAAGCCTATTTTTCCCTACCAGCAACACGCAAATATTAACAGCATGCATCGCTTCTCCTTTTAACTGTACCGTTAGGGATTTATATACATGTACATATGTATTTAAATACCAGCATACAAAATATTATCGAGCTGTAGCGACAATAATATTTTTTTTCGCCGTGGTAAATCCTTGCAGGAAATCTTGTGCGTGTTCCCCATGCCCCCCACCCCCTCCCCTGCCTCGCCAAAGCAGTGTAAATTGTCAGAAGAAATTTAAGCAGCGTTTAAACAACTTCTCTTGCAAATCAGAACATCTTTCAAACCGAAATTATATTTAAATCTGGAAAACGAAGTGCCCTTTCCCTTTAGCTACGAAAAAATAAGGTTATGAGGAATAAAAGTGATGAATTAGCCACTGCGTTAAGCGATAATAAATCAGGCTTGGTGTGATTCGCGATCAATTCCAATTAGTCATGAATATGCTAAGTAAAGCACAGTACACTGTTTTAGACAGTTATTTCTTCATTAAGGATCACTCAGTGATTTCTTTCACAAATGCTCTAATCTGATTTCCTTTTGATTTCCATTAGAGACAGTGAATAATGACATTTAATTTAGCCCTGCACCATAAACCCAAAGATATTTGTTGTAATTGAATTACTGCCTGCTCCTCACTATGGTCTCATAACTTTCAATTATAACCCTGACAGCTGGGTGATATGAGTTTCCAGTACAACACTAAAAATAAAAGGTTAATAAGGACTAGCTACCATAGGAGCTTCAATTTATTTACAGCAAATTTCCACGCTAAATTGAAACTATATCCTTTAACAGCAAGGGACAAGAGGTTCAGATAGGAATTAGAAAGCAATTCCGAAAGTATTAGGAAAAAAAACAACAAAAAAACAACAACAAACCTTTCCCTTTTCTGCCTTTTTTTTTTTTTCTGCTTCCACTTATTGATGGATATTAAATCTCTGCTTATTTCCTAACTAATTGTTCATTTTTCCTCTTTTTTTTCTTTATACTTACTTTATGTATAGGGGTTTTTTAAATCCACACAAACCTCTTTTATAAAATTATTAAATACATTTTTTTTTAATCTCCGTCATAATCTTGTCCTGACACTTTTGGTTTGGCTTTTTTTTAATTTTTTTTTTTTGGGGGGTGTGTGTGCTGTTTTAAGATCTGTTAGCACTTGAAGCACCAATTTTCCTGTAACTATGAACATCCTGTTAAGGTGCTCCTCAGTAATAAAGTACTTGAAAGAAAGAGTGCAGAATTCAATTACAAGTAATTTATTTTTATAGAAACAGTACATCAAGGCCTTGGAAAGATATTACAGAGCCCAAGTAAGAAGATCTGGGAAGATGACATAAGAGTTGATGTCCCCTTCAGCAAAAGTTTAATCTTTTCATTAATTTATATGGTGTGGTTAGATCAATCTTCCAGGAGAAAGTAGGCCAGCAGCACTCTCAACCCCTGCAATATTCCCTGCAAGCTGCCATTCCTAAGTCATATGCCCAGCACCATCCCTTGCCCTACTTGGTTTGTACTGAGAGTCACAGGAGCTGAGGGGAGAATAAAACCTTGAAAGAAATAGGGGAAAAAAAAAAAAAAAAAAAAAAAAAAAAAAAAAAAAACCCCGAAAGCAACTTAGGTACTCCATTTATTTCAGGACTTGCCTCCAGGAGACAGTTGTTTAAAGTGAGGTAGTGACTTGCTCAGGCAAATGCTGGCTGAGCAGTGTGCTGTCTGCTTGCTTTCCATGCTGAAAGAGGGGCTCAAACAGACCCCTCTCCCCACTCCAGCTCGGGGCTGGAGTATTTCTTGCCACTGTGCCCCGGGGGTCAGGTCAGGGCGTGGAGGCCTCCATCTATACCCACAGAGCCATACCCGTGCCAAAGTAGCCACCCGCACACTCCTATAGGCAGATATACATGTACATGTCTTATCTCCAGGGTGTGAAAGAGTTCTGTCCAGTGCAGGGGTTGCCTTGGAGACTTTTTCTTCTTGAGTTTTAGTTAGGTTTGTGTCTCTTAGGCCAGGCATAGTATTTTAATCCAAGAAGATGTTTCCTTCAGGTTTCTCCTGCTCTGGGCCTGCTTATGGAGCCACAGGTTGGTCTTATTTTTTCTAGGTAGATTTTTGTCAATTATTTCTATGTTGGGGTTTTTTTTGTTTGGTTGAGGGTTTTTGTTTCTTTTAATATGACATCTGTTTTGTGGAAGCATTCCCTAGTTGGCTTGGGGGAAGAGGGAGTATTTTTCCTCTACATCAAACTGAAAATCCAATTTTAAAATAATCGATGTAGAGCCACCCAAACAGACAGCTCTGGTGGCCCCAGGACTACAGCAACCCGGATCTATTTGCAAGATTTCGAAGTCTAATTGGCATTTAGCTGTCTCTGAAGCGGGATGGGAGGGACGGGGGGAACCTCCACCAGATGGGGTGGCATGCATTCATACGCTTGCTGTGCGAATCAGAGCCGGCACCTTTCCCCCGGCTCTGGCTAATCCCGTCCCTCAGCACCCAAACTGTCTAGCCTTATTCAGGCGATTGTTTTCTAGCCTTTTTCTTTTTTTTTCTTCCCATAATAGAAAAAGCGGGAAGAAAGTAAGGATTAAGGGAGTAAATGGCACGTTTGCAAGGGGAAAAATAAATTAAAAAAAAAAAAAAAAAAAAAAAAAACAGTTGTTCAGTTATTAGAGACTTGTCAACACTATCACCACCCAACCACCCTACCCAACACACATACCAAAAAAAAAATTTTTAAACCTCATTCCTAGGAAATAGACACGGGCAGATATTCCCAGAGCAGAATAACTGTTTGGCAGGACAGGTACAGCAGACTTGCAAACAGCTTTCCCATCACACGTGTCACCTCTGCCTTCATCTCCCCGCTCTGCATGAAACGGGGCACTGTGCTAGGATCCGCTGGCAGTTAGGAAGTGAGGTGAGCACGCTTCCAGGAACAGAGCCTTTCTCTTACCTGAACCCTAGCTTCAGATAGTCCCAGCCTCTGGCTTAGTTCCTCCCTCATGAAGGCATCCGGATAGTGAGTCTCATCAAAAAGTCTTTCCAGCTCGTTCAGCTGCTCTAGTGTGAAATTGGTTCTGCTTCTCCTTTGTTTAAGCTTGGTCTGTCCGTCTTCATCTTCTGACTTCACATCTTCCCTCTTCTCTTTGCATTCGTAGATCCCTGCCGGGAGGGGGAAGAAGAAAACGACGCTGAGCCTCCCCTCGCACCTCTTCGAAATTCTCACACACAGGGGTCTCCCTCCTCCCCTCTTCGTCCCCAAACTCAGCACAACTTGCGGGTGCAGCTGTCGGGGGGACAGGAGGTCCCCGGGCAGGCCCCGGAGGGGCGAGGGGGGCTGAGCTCCGCTACAAGCTCCGCGCCGGGCAGGGGGCAGCTCGCCCGAGGGCCGGAGGAGGAAGGGAGCCGCGCTGCCTTGCCTGTCTGATGCCCTATCAGAAAAACTATACAGATAAATATAATTTTATTTTCCTTCCAAGGTTAGGAGGAAGCCGTGCCGCCCGTCGGTACGGGCAGCTCAGGGAAGGGTTTGGCAGGAAAACCGCCGGCCCCCCGATACCTCCAGGCAGTGGGAAGAGGTGGGGGAAGGGGATTTCTCCGGCGACGTTTTCTCCCAAAGAGGGCTGTGCGAGAAGCTCCCTACCGCTATCATGGTGAAGCCACGATGATAGTTGTTTGTCTGGTAAAAGAAACTTTTCCTGGGCATGAGATGGAGTCTGCCCGTCTCTCTCCTCCTTAACAACCCTCTTTCCCCCGAAATACCTGCCAGCGGCTAGGAACCCGGGGGCGGCGGTCCCGCTCGGCCCTGTGCGGGACAGAGGGCTCCAGGGCCATGGGTCACTCCCAGCCCTCCGAAACAGCAGGAACCCTCCCAACCTTCCGGGATTCCAACAGGGCTCGTGGAGAGCTTGCGACCAGAGGCAGCCGCTGAGTATGCTTGTCCCGGTCAGAGGGGAGGCTGTGGGGGCAGCGGATAAAACAGTTCCCCTTTTCTGTCTTGGGCAGGGAAATTTCTTTTGCTTTGGCATATTATTTCATACGTTTTTATTATTATATTCCTCCCCCCGCCCCTTTTCCTTAATGCTAGGAGGCCTAAGGCTCTGTCCTTCTTTCAAATCCAGTTAACGAAAAGAGGAACAGATGCTGGAGCGAGGGACACCACTTTAGGCTGAACCGGTTCCCCGGGATCCCCTGCCTGCCTGGGGCGCCCCACCGGGTGCGCATCCAGCGCGGGCACCGGCGGAGTCCCGGGACGAGCCTGTTCTCACTGCCTCCTTTGTCGTGCCTCACCTTCTGGGTGGTGTGGATGTGGGGAGAGTCGCATCTGCGGACGATCCCGAATTAATTCCCTTTTTCCTCACCAGGTACTGTATACATACATACGTATGTACACACACGCAGAGAAATGTGCACATGAACATTTATTAACCTATATACTTAGGGGCATCCCAAAATGCAAATTGTAAACTGCAAATCGTAAGTTAATTAAACGAAACAAAGCGTCCTGAACAGCATCTGGGCTAAAGCAAGGCTGGACTCAAGATGAAGGATTCGTTTCACTCCCAAAATGAAAACTGTCCCTGGCCCTGAACATTCCCCCGGGCTCCGGGCTGGTACTGGCTGCATAAAACTTTGGGAAGGGTCTGGCCTCCGGATGGAGATATTCGCTGGTTGGTTTTAAAGGCTTTTTGTTCTCATTTCTCCTGTAAAGGGAATCCCTATGAAAAGACGAGGGTGCTAACCCAGCAAATACCTAGGGAAAATCAGGCGATTTCAAAAGCTGTCTCTTTTCCGAGGCTACAGCATGTCCGTGATAGGTATAAAATATTAACTAGCATATCGGTGGGACTGAAATCACACGCCCGAATCAGTTGAAATTAGGCTGAAACCTGGCATGAATTTAAACTGTCACAAGCATCTCAGCTCTTTCCAACTCCTCCCTTCCATCCCCACCCCCAGCCCCTCTCCGTAGATTAGATTAGCTAAACATACAAGTCTGAATTTCGATTCACGAGGAAAGGGGAGAGTAGTCGAGGGGGGTTTTTCGTTCCTTCTCATTCTATTTTTAATTTCTGAAGCATACCCTGCTTCCTTTTTTTTTTTTTTTTTTTTTTTTTAAATCATCTCCTGCGCAAATGATTCCCTTAAACTGAATCTTGTTTTTCAATCTCTCGACCAGAGAAGGAAAATAAGCAGAGCTGAGTGGTACTGGCTTGTGCAGAAATATGGGTACCCTAATACGTGATTATACCCCGTTCTTCTGTTTGGGAAGCAGGTAGAAAGAGGAGGATATTAAATAAAAGTTTGGGCTGTAAATTAAATCTCCCAGTGTTATATTAAACAAGATCAAACAGTAGGAAACAGCTGAAAGGCTGGTTGTTGTTCCCCAACCTATTAACCGGTTTTTATTACCCCAAGCTAGCCAGTAGCTCCCCAGGCAGGTCCACCTGTCTAACTTGCCTAGAGACACTTTCTCAACTTTCTAATCCCCCCGTCCTTTTAATTCTCTCCTTCCCCTGCGAGCCTGTGCGGGATTTTTAGTTGTGTTGCTTTAAAAAATACGGGATTTTTAAATTGTTGTTGCTGTTGTTGCTGCTTAAAGAAAGGATGGCGTTTTGCCCTTGGGTCGGCAGGGTGTCGTGCTGCCCTGGCCCAGGTGAGAGGACTGGCAGGGACCGAGGGACCAGTCGGCCGGGCCGGCCGGTGCCTCTGGCCGCAGCGATGCTCTGTCTCACTGGGTCCGGGCAGCTGCCCCACAGCCAGGCTCCTCTCCTGCTTCTCGTCCCCGCCGGTCGGAGCCTCTGAGTAGGACAGGCTGACCGACCCAAGACAAAATGTCCAGAAAGAGCCCTCTCCACGTCCCGCTTTGTCCCAGAATAAGCAGCAGCAGCATCCTGACGGCCCGGAAGCAGGAAGAACAGGTCTCCTAAGGCATTAAAACTCCCCGGACAAGGTTTCCTCGTACAAAAATACACAGATAGACAAAAACGTCTGACGTGCTGCGCTGCCCCCTTCCCCCAGGCGAGAGAACGCCTAACGCACCGGATCGATTTCGGATGTGAACGGGGGCTGGCGGGGGGGCAGGACCGAAGTTGTGACTTATTTTTCACGGCTACGCTCACGTTTTGCATGCAGGAGTACGTGTTCCTAAGGCTGTGTTCCCGCCGCCGAGGGAGGGAGGTGACCGCAGCAGGGAAGCAGGATGCGGGAGGCGATCCCGCTCGCCCCGCCGGGGCCCGAACCGGGGCCGCGGTGACCAAGCCGCCCCCTCAGCGGAGAGCCAGGGGCGGCCGGGGAGGGGACCGGGGCTGCCGGCGAGAAGCGCGGGGCGGAGGGCTCCCAGCCCTGCTCTTACCTTCCGCCGTCCTGCCCGTGTTGAACTCCTTCAGTTTGTCCTTGTCGCTCTCTACGTGGTCTTTGAAAAGATGCACCGGGCAATGGTTGCTGCTCTCGGTCATGTCCTGCAGGTTAGAATCAGAGTTTCCAAGCTCCCTAGAGCGAGCCAACCCACTCTCCAAAACTTCCCTGTACGTGATCGTCTCCTTCTTGTTGCCGCTGCCACTGCCGCTGCTGCTCTCTTTGCTTTTCTGGTCAAAAGATTTGGATACAAAAGCCGTAAGTTCTTCCATGGCTGCCCGGTGATCTTATCCACAGAGATCCACTTATTTTCAGTCGGAGATGTGGCCGTCCTCCACACGCTGTTTTTGCACGTAGAAGATGGGCTGTATAGGGTTAGATCACTCCTGCTGTTATTTATGCCTTTCAATTTGAGATCACACTATTTATACATGGCTACCTCAGCCCAACCCCCAGCTCTCCCTGTCTCCAGCAATTACTGACTGCTCCATAGTCGCAGGCGGACTCCGAGCAGCTATCTCCCCCACCTCAGTCCAGCAATTGGCTTTCTTTTCATTTCATCACTCTTTGGCATCTTTGCACCTTGATTTAGGGAGGCAAAGAGGCAACAGCGAAAAAGAGGGGGGTAGAGGGAGAGGGAGAGAGAGAGAGAGAGGAAGAGAGAGAGAGGGGAATAAAAGGGAGGGAGGGGGAAACAGGAAAACATGAAAATAGGTATCTACATTCTGTAAATGGGTTGCAGAAATGCGAGTCGAGGAAGAATTAATTGGTTTTAAGGACATCCTATGCGTGACAACACTGTGAGTAAAAACGGACCCACAGCTAAACAAATAACTGAGCTCCTGCAATTAAATGTATCGCTGTCAAGAGGAAAGGAAAATGAGTGTTCAATAAAAAAGGTAATGAATAAAAAGCCGGCGATGTGCATTTGTTGTAATCATTGGAAATTCTACCTGATTTTCTATTTAGCTAATTTCTCTTAATTAAACGGTCAAAATAATCGGCAAAACAAAAATGCTGTTTTAAAAGTGTTGCCTGTTCTGGCTGGCGGTGGGTGGGTGGGTGCACGGAGGGGGACGTGTGCTGCAGCTAAACAAGTTGCGAGGTGCCTCGGAGATCCGTGTCGGTGTGTTCGGAGGATTTGGAGTGGGTTGTTTGGATGGGGGGTATCCATGGTAAGGAGTCTCTCCAGATGCGTGTGAACATTGCAGGATCTTGTCTCCTTGTTTATTGTTATTATGTTGTCTGAAGGTACTGCAGGGGGAAATTAAAATCTAAAATGTTTCTGTGGATATCGAGCTATCCTGCTGCATGCAGCAGAGGGGTAGCTTGTTGACACGGGAGTGTGTACACGACAAATAGATCATTAAACCTTTTTTTTTTTTTTTTTTTTTTTAATCCTGCTGGATTTAACACAGAACTGGCAATAATTTCCCCGTCTTGTTCTTGGTAGGCTGCAGTTATTTTTGTTGTACTGCTGGAATAATTATTATCCTGTGCGCTTGAATAGCTGCCTGAAATTCGTCTCCAGATAACAGCGCCGGCATTTCCAGCGCCTCTCCGCACCGTTTGATCCCCACGCGGAGTCGACTTCCCATCTATTTATTTCTGTCTCTTCTCCTCGGGCTTTAACGCGAAGGGTTATTCGGTATTTGGAGGAATTTTGTCTTCTGGTTGTTTGGCTTTTTACGTCCTTCTCGTTCCCTCGCCTCGAGTTTGAGATAATCAGAGCCCATCATCACGCCACCCTCTGCTCTGAATCGCAACCAAAGCAAGCTCCTTGTTGGAGCAAGGGGCCATTGTTTCTTTTCCGGGGGAGTGTGGGACTGTTGTGAAAATTAGCAGAACATTAAAACACTAAAAATTCGTTTAATTAATCCAAAGGTGCCCCCAGCACCAGAGTTAACACTTCCACAGGAGGAGGGGAAAAATTAATAATCGAGGAAGCAATTAATAAAGGGCTTAAAAAAAAAAAATCAATCTCCCCCTGTGCGAATTTAAAATGATTATCTGGGGGACAAGGATTGATCATTTGATCTCGGCACTGCGGATATCCCTGACATTTATTATATTGTCGTGTCTCGGTGGCATCCTTCCTCCAGAGTTCGTTTAACAAGTGCGGGAGCGGAGGAAGCCTTACAACTTAACAAACAGGTCTTGTCATCGCAAACGCCAATCAAATCCGAGGCTCTAATGTATATCACACGGCACCACATAAATAATAAAGGCAAACGATAGACGGGGAAGTAACGTATGGCTGAGGAAAGATCCCGGCACGACACGCTGCTTGTGACTCTCTCATGCAGTTTGCGCGTGTAAGAGCTCGTAGAGGATGGCTGTGCAGGCTGGTGCGTGGTGCGAGGGTGTCAAGGACACGCGGGGACACCGGCACTCATTCCCCCGTGGGAAAGGCTCCCTACCGGGGCTGGGCCCCCGCCCCAGTTTCCCCGCGGAAACCTTCCCCATCCCCCGACTCGAACGGCACCGATCCCCACCGTGCCCAGTCTCCCTCTGCCTCCCTCGCAGCAAGCGGCAATCAAGGATAAACATTTACTGACTCCGCGTCCCCAGCGCCGGAGAGGCACGGTGCGCGTCGGCTTCCCCGAGCTGCCGGAGTTTGCAGCAAGTCCGCCGGATCCCCTCTTTCCTCCCTCTCGCCCCCATGCCGCTCTCCTCCCCGCAGCTCCCCCCTGAGCCCAGCCCCACGCCTGCAGCCCCCGCCAGAGGGGTCACGCTCCCCCCGGAGCCCCCCGGGCGCCTCCTGCCACTGCCGGGGCTCCTGCCCCCGAGGACAAGGGCAAATCCAAGCCTCCTCGGACAGAGGGGGGGAAAAAAGCTCTCTTGCCTGTTCCACATCCCTCCCTCCCTGCTTCCCAGCAGCGCCCGGTGGGAAGGTTGGCTGTCCCCCGCTTCCCGCAAGGCGCGGGGCGCAGTTCGGAGCGGGGCAGCCACCGGGAGCGCAAGGGGCGCGACAGCCCACGGGCCACCGCCACCGGGAACCCTCGACGGCAGCCGGGAGGCCACCGGGGGGGAGCCTTGCAGCCGGGGGGAACTTGCCTCATACTAGCTCCGAAAGAGAAAAGCGAAACAAAGCACCGGAAAGGGAAGGGGAGAAAACAGGGGAAATAATAAAAACAAACAAACAAACAAAAAAAGGACCAGTGCAAAGCTCAACTCTCCCGGGGATCCGGCCTCCACCCCGCGCTGCGGACCCTGGCGGGGGCAGGCGGCGGAGGGCGCAGGAGCTCGGGCAGCCCCGCGGGCGCGCACGGCCCCACTGCGCACCGCGGATCTCTGCGAGGGATGCCGGGCCCGTCCCGTCCTGCTCCAGCGGCGCGGCAGGGAGCGGAGGGAGGCGGGGAGAGCCCCCCGGGCACCCCCTCTCTGAGCAGCCCGCGGCTTTGGGGGCACCTAGGGCAAGGTGGTGCAGGTGGGAACAAAATTGGGGGGCAATTTTGACCCCACTGAGAACTTTGACGGCGGGTTCAGGCAGGAATTACCTTTATTGCTGCTCCTGAAAATGGCCTGGGGAGGAGGGATGCAGAGAGGGATAAAGGGAAAGAGAGAGAGAGAGGGAACTGCTGCCTAAAGACCATTCCCTTGCAGGAACGGAACTCTTGGGACCTTGTCGCAAACCTAAAAAGTCACCAGCGCTCCTCGGAGCTTCTTTCTGCCCCCGGCTCACCGCGGCACCCTGGGTACCAGATCCCCCCTTGCAGAACCGGCCAGCAGCGGCACACTGAGGGCTGTCCCGACTGCCCGGCCTGCCCGCTCACCTGAGGGCACCATGCCCCCAAATCCTCCTCCTCTTCCCCCTCTACTGCCCTGGGGCAACGAACAGGAGCCCTCTGCCCTTCTGGGGGTCCTAACTGGACAAAAAGGATGGCCAGTTTGTTCTTCCCCTCTTCCTTTCCCCATCGCCGCCCCTACGGGGCTGATTCCTCCCCACAGACCCGAGCCCGCCCCCTGGCTACCCCTTCCCCAGAGCGAGAGGGGGCATCTGCGAGCAGGGCAGCCTGGCAGCCCATAGTCCGGACCTTATTTAGCCTGGTATCAAGCCATGCGTTATTTTTTAATTCCTCTTTCAAAGGAAGCTCTTGACCGTTGTGGTTTTTCTTCGAGTTAAACGAGAGGAATAATCATGAATGAGTTTAAACGTTGCATTAGCTTTAAGCATATCCAAATGGCAAAGTATGGAATTTCATATTTATAGGAGAAATTTACATTTGTACATTTACTCATGGTGTGACGTAGGGCGAAACTGATTTCCTCCCACCCTCCCCCCTTCAGTTTATTTTGGTCGAAATGGGGCAAATAAGCAAACAGAAAAATCATCTGTTTAATCCATATTTTAATAAGCGCCGACCCAAAGAGCAAGATTTTGTTGAGTAGATAACTGAGTCCTCTCTCTCTCTCTCCATCTCTTCCATCCTTCCCTCTCTCTCTCTCGTGATTAATTCAGGGACTGTAATCATGGACATTGTACATCAAACCTTTCTGCTCACGCTACAGACTCCTGCAGATCTTTATTGGTTTACATGAAAGCGAGTAAACATATTTCAGAGGATGCCCTTTCAATCTGGCTCCATTTCCACAGCACATAATTCCAAGGACAATTTGTTTTAATAATAAGAATGGATGCAGTGTTAATGGTTTTCAATTTGTGTTAAAAAAAATTAAATATTTATAAGTATCGATCGAGGGTTTCAGGATTTTACAGATGTCTTAACACATTTCATAGATGGGATTTTTTTTTTTTTAATTTAGAAACCTGCGTTGTATTCTCTTTTATGCTGTTTATTGATTTAAGCAGCATCCGTGTCTCAAGCGAGAGACTAATAGATTTTCATTAAAATAGGCTCTCTTAATCCTGATTGTGAATGGATATGATTGATCCATCCAGCACACTACACATCTATAATATTAATAAAGGACATTATCATGGCAGGATTTGCTTTTCCGTCATCAGGGTACTTTTGCTTTTCCCCCTTCCTTGCAACCCTCAAGATTTATTTGGGAGCTGTAAAATAGCCCACAGGAGGGAGACCCTTTGGGAAGACTACATTTTTATACTAGATATATTTTTTTGGTGGTTTTAGTGGAAAGACTTTTTTTTTTTTTTTTTTTTAAATTTACAAACTGCTGTGGGAACATATGGTGAAAATTAAACTGTTTGCCCCGCAAATCTAATCTTAAAACATTTATGTTGAGTTTTATTTTTAGAAAAACATTTTTAAAGGAGAGGAAGACAATCTCGTATGAAAAGTAAAATAAAGAACATTTGAAAGGCTATAGTTTAAACTAACAATAGCCTACTTCACCGGCTGATGCTGCTGGACTGGTATCGTACCTGATGAATATGTTACGAAGTGGTCGGGACAGCAGCGGCTACAGTAATTA